TTGGTTAGCAGCTGAGTGCTTAACCACTGCAGCACCAGGGCTTCATTTGAGGCTTACAGAGGTATATTAGTTTCCTAGGGCTGCCATAACAAATCACCAAAAATTGGGTGGCTTAAAACAGAAATTTATTCTCTCACAGTTCTGGAGGCCAGAAGTCCGAACTCAAGGTGTCGGTTGCTGTGTTCCTTCCAGAGGCTCCAGGGAAGGATCCTTCCTTGCCTCTTCCGGTATCTGGAGGCTCCTGGAGTTCCTTGGTTTGTGACCATAATCTCTGCCTCTGTTTTCACGTGGCCACTTCCCTGTGTCTCTGTGTGTCTTCTCCCCTTCTTAGAAGCGTATCAGTCATTAGATGTGGGATCTACTCTAAATCCAGGGTGACCTTATCTTGATATCCTTAATTACATCTTCAAAGACCCTATTCCAAATAAGGTCACTTTCACAGGTACCGGGGTCAGGACTTGGACACACCTTTTAGGGAGACACTATTCAACCCAGTAGGAGTCCCTGGGTGGTGCAAATGGTTAACGCATTCAGCTGCTAACCAAAATGTTGGAGGTTCAATCCACCCAGAGGTACCTTGGAAGAAAGGCCTGGCAATCTACTTCTAAAAAATCAGACACTGAAAACCCTATGGAGCACGGTTCTACTCTGGCACACGTGAGGTATCTGTGAGTCGGAGTCAACTCAATGGCAATTGGTAAAATTCAGTTCACTATATGAGGCTTGAGTAGCTCACCCAAGGACCCACTGGGCCTTTCTTGCTCCGGATCCTGTGCCCTCAGCACCATGCTGCACGGCCTCTGGAAGTGCTGAGAGCAGTGTTTCAGGAAAATAAAATTGGTAACAGAGTACAGGATGGAGTGAGCCTGGGTGGATCTGGGGCTCGAAGTGATTCCAGGGGGAATGATGCACCCATTTCTAGGGCTTCCCGTGTGTGGAGCAAAATGAGGGGCTCTTGAGGTGGGGGGATCTAGTCCTATTGGGGGCCAGAGGCTGCACTTCCCCGGCATGTGTGGGAAGGGTCACCTCCTGAGCACCAGAGAGGAAGATTAGACTGAGGGAAAGTCTGCAGGGTGCTGGAGGGAGGCTGCTGGGCTGGAAACCTCTCTCCTGCACAGAGCTGCCCTCCCTCCTGAGAGATGCCATGGAGGACAGAGCCAGACTCCCCGCCCAAGTCTGTGCTCTCAGAACGAGAGTGTCACAGAGCTGCTGAGCACCTGCCACCTGCACCCACATCCCCAGTGGGGCCTTGTCCCAGGCCATTACCTTCTTTGCCCATTCCCTTGCTGATGAGATGAGAGCCATCAGCCACATCCCCAGGGCCACACTAAGTGGAAACAACTCCCTGGAGAGTGGAGGCACCAGCCTGGCACCTGGGCAGGGGAGGGGGACCTGGCTCTCCTGAGGTCTGGAAGAGGGGAGCCATGGAGTCAGACCAGCCTGGACTCAAGTTTCTCACTAACTAGCTGTGTGACCTCAGGCAGGTTCTTGAACATCTCTGAGCTTCAGTTTCCTCATCTGTATAATGGAAATCATAATATCCACCTCTTTCATGCTTTGTTGCCAGGGTCACAGTACCTGGCCCAGATAATAGCCCAATAAATGGCAGCAATTGATGTTTTATTCCCTCCTGATTCTAACACCATTGTCTCATCCCATAGCCTGTGGAAAGGACGGTGAGGGGGGAGTGGGGGGGTTCCCCATACCACAGCTCAGGGTTTCCAGGGTTTGTTAGGGTTTAGACCACAGCCACTAAAGCCCTCCGCCCAGAGTAGCCCCCCAGGAGTCTTTGTTTAGGAAGCAGTGAATATCTGTTTATGATGATAGAAAATTTGGCAACAGATACTGGTGAATGGTTGCACAACATGATTAATGTAATTGGTGTCACTGAATTATACATGTAAAAGTTAAATTGGCAAACATGTTTTTTATATACATATTTTTAACAACAATTAAAAAAAAGCGAGCGGCCCCCTAGAGTGCTTCGTGGGTGTGTAGGGTGAGCTGTCACTGAACCCTGTAAACATGTAGAAAACGCAGTGAGTAAACCTCACATCTGAGAAGACCATACTCATTTTCACGCTTGCACGGTGTGTAGGAGCTGGTGGGGATCAGCCAGGAAACAAAGCCAGCTGGCTTCAGCACCCGCCTCTTCTCTCCTTTACCCAAGGGAGGAGGGGCCCATATTGTGGGTTTATGGGGACCCTACCCTGGATATGGGTCCCTGGGTGGTGCAAACAGTTAAGTGCTCAACTACTAGCCAAAAGGTCGGTGGTTTGAACCCATGCAGAGGCACCTCAGAGCAGTTCTACTCTGCACACATGGGGTCGTCATGGGTCCGAATCAATTTGATGGTAACTAACAACAACCCTGGAGATAGAAAGATTGGGGTAAGTGTTGGGAGGGGTAGGAGAGGAAGCTCTTGTGGGAGAGGGAAAATGTCCCCAGACTGAGTCAGCGATGGTGGCTTAGGGTTCCAAAGAGACGGACTGTAGATAAGAAGCTGAGCCTTAGCCCAGCAAAGACCCCAAACCCAAGCCTGGCACAGAAGTGGCTGCCCCCTGTCTACTTCAAGGGACCATGAGAGCTTGGAGGGTGAGCAGTGCATCAGTGAACAGCATGGACAGTGCCTAGGGACCCTCCCCAGATATACTGGGCTGCTGAAGACCCTGAGCCTAGGACCTTCACCAGACCTGGGGAGAGGCCAGTTATGGCTGTATGGACTTTCCTGGCAGCCAGGGGGACAGGAGCTTGGAGCAGATTACATTTTATTTGGACAACTAAAAGAAATGTGCCATTTCTTGTACCTGAATGTTGGTTGGTAGCAAACCCTCATCCCCCACAAATGTCTCATAGCTTCCCTTCCACTGCGTGCTGGCTCCCTCCCTCCTGCAGCGCTGGGCTCAGCCACCCCAGTCAGGCAGGTGACGACATGCTTTGGGAAGCCAAGTTGGTGACATTTCTCTCTTGGTGGAGCAATGTGCTTCTTGCTCACTTGGCAGCCTGCAGAAAAGGCCAAGCAACAGATCCAGCCTCCCCCAGCAGGGGCACAGGAGAGAGCCCCCACCCCTCAGGGATAGGCAGCTGCCCACATGGCAGAAAGATTGATTAGCTGTGAGACAGTCCTCCGAGGAGGAGAAGGCATCACTGAATCAGACTCTGCCTGGGTTAGCTAGGAACAAGCGTCAGCACCATCAGGGCCCCCTCTGCCTTCCAGCGGGTTTCCTTGTGGCCTTTCCCACCTCTGCTTGTTGCTGCAGGTTAAGTGGAAGCAAAATATGTATTTAGAAGTTATGAGCTTAAGCAATGCTATAGAATGAAAAGCACTGTAGAAGCTAGGTTCTGGCTATTTCCATGTCTGCAGGAAATTACATAATGGCTAAAAGCTCTAGAGGAGCCTGGGTGGCATAGGTGGTTTGCAATATAACATAAAGGTTGCTGCTAACATAAAGGCTGGATTTGAACTCACCCAGCAGTTTTGCAGAAGAAAGGCCTGGCAAACTGCTTCCATAAAGATTGTTGTTATTTGGTGCCGTTGAGTCAGTTCTGACTCATAGCAACCTTATGTATAACAGAACAAAACGTTTTCCAGTCCTGTGCCATCCTCACAATAATAGGTATGTTTGAGCCCGTTATTGCAGCCACTCTGTCAATCCATCTCATTGAGGGCCTTCCTCTTTTTCGATGACCCTCTACTTTACCAAGCATAATGTCGTGTTACAGCCAGGAAAACTCTACGGAGCAGTTCTACTCTAATACACAGGGTCACCCTGAAGAGACTCAAGGCAAACAACAACAACAGAAGCTCTAGAATCCTTTTCTTACTAGCTGTGTGAACTTGGGCAAATTCTCTGAGCCCCAGAGCCCTCGTGTAAAATGGGTCTAATGCTTACATAATAGGGTTACTGGGATGGTTAAATGAAGTGATACTTACAGGGGGCTTGGCCTAGAGTAAGTGCTCATGCTGCCACTAGTATTTCTCACTATATCATCTTCTGACCTGTCTAGCACATCTGTGAGTTTTTTGTTCGTTTGCTTTTGCATGGCACATACAAATGTACGTTTTCTTTGTTGAGTAACATTATTTCCTGCCTGCAGTTTCACATATCAACACAATCTGGAGGTTAGGACCATATTCTGGTGTGTTTGCCTGAATCTTCCCCTGGTCTTGGCCATTTGGGTTGTTTCTAGTTCTTTGCTATTAAAGATGATGCAGCTGGGAATATCAGCAAGTTTATTTTTCTCTGTATCCTAACAAAACCTAATTGCGGGACTGAATCGATATCATGAGAAGCATTCATTGTGCCCCAAAGCCAACCAAGGATTTTGGGATTGTCTGTGCCTTTTGGAGTATCTACCCTCTTCCCTTGGCCTACAGCAAATGCTGTTCCCTTGGAAAATGCAAAAGTGAACCTCAGATGGTACCCAGCTGCCATTACTGAACGTTTTGGTCAAAGATTCTATAGAAGAATCCTGATCAAAACGGGGGGAAATGCAGAACAGAATTTCAAATCTTCATGGAATCTAGACTTTCTGGAGTCATTGAAGGTAGATGAACTGTTGCCCTGAGATAATCTTTAAACTTTAAACCGAACATATTCCCTGAAGTCTTCTTTAAACTAAAGACCAGTTTAGTTTAGTTTGTAAAGAATGTCTGCCTTGAGTGTTGTGTTTTTAAATCTATACGGGATCAAATTGGCAACAGCAAAACAAAAAATTAGATAGGAAACTTAGGGGGCAGTGAGTTTATGTTAATGAATGAGGAACAATTCAGAAAAGGAGAGTGAGAAGGTTGTACAACTCGAAGAATGTGATCAATGTCACTGAATTGTACATGTAGAAATCTGTTGAATTGGTGTATGTTCTGCTGTGTATATTCTCAACAACAACAAAAAGTAAAATCAAAAAAAAAAAAAAAAAAGTGAGCCATAATCACAGCTTTCCTAGCCCCTCAGCCGAGGAGGAAGCAGCTGAAGTGTTTATGTTTCTCTCTCTTGTAGAAAGTCTGCACCAAATGTGGGATCGAGGCCTCCCCCGGCCAGAAGCGGCCCCTGTGGCTGTGTAAGATCTGCAGTGAGCAGAGAGAGGTAGAGTACCACCCGGGCACGCTGGAGGGTGCGGGGGACGCCGGGCAGAGCCCGGCACATTCGCTTATGGTCGCTGGGAGGGGTTTCTCTCAAGGTCAAGAAAGGATTAACAGGGTAGGGGGCACAGCGGACGAAGGTGAGGAGGAGGCACCTTGCTGGCTTGCCCATTTCCCAAGTGCAGAGATGCCAGTGGGCCCTGGTTTTGCTGTGCCTCTGGACCCTGGTTTCAGTGGGAAGTCCCTCCCACTGTCAGTGTACGTGCATGTGGCATTTGGGGGGCGGGGAGGGCGGCTATTGTTATAGTAATAGCTACCCTGGGTTGAAGATTTACTATGTACCTGGCACTGCACTAAGTTTTTGCATGTGTTAATTCATTTCATCCTCACATCAATCCCATAGGTAAGTCCTTTTATTGGTGGGGAAATGGAGGCACAAGAGGTTAAGAAACTTGTGAGCACCGGGATAGTTAGCAGGGGGTCTGGAAATCAAATGCAGCCAGGGTCTGCTGTGCCACTTCCAATGTCGCTTCTGGTGCTTTAAAAAAAAAAAAAAAAACGACACAAAGAACAATGATGAATCTGTGAAGCATCTCATAACATGGATGAAACTGGAGGACATTATGCTGAGTGAAATAAGTCAGTCACAAAAGGACAGATATTGTATGAGACCTCTACTGTAAAAACCCATGAAAAAGTTCACATACAAAAAGTAACAATCTTTGTTGGTTACCAGGATGGGAGGGTTGGGGGGAAATACTAAATAGGCAATAGGTAAGTGGTATCTTGGGTGAAGGGTGAGACAATACACAATACTGGGGAAACCAGCACAACTTGTACAAGGAAAAGTCATGGAAGCTCTGTAGACAGATCCAAACTCCCTGAGGGACTGAATTGCTGGGCGGAGGGCTGTGGGGACCGTGGTCTCGGGGAACATTTAGCTCAATTAGCATAACAGTTTATAAAGACAATGTTCTACATTCTACTTGGTGAGTAGCATCTGGGGTCTTAACAGCCTGTGAGCAGCCATCTAAGGTACTCCACTGGTCTCATCCCTTCGGGAGCAAGGGAGAATGAAGAGAACAGGATACAAAGAAAAGATTAGTCTGAAGGACTAATGGACCACAGCTACCAAGGTCTCCATCAGACTGAGTCCAGTACAGCTAGATGGTGCCCGACTACCACCACTGACTGCTCTGACCGGAATCACAACAGAGGGTTCTGGACAGAACTGGAGAAGGATGTAGAACAAAATTCTAACTCACAAAAAAAAGACCAGATTGACACCCTTTTAGCTCAGTGGTGAAGTCACTTCCAAGGTTCACCGTTCAGCCGGGAAGTGGACAGCCCCATAAAACCAAATGGAACTAATGAGGCACAGCAGTCCAGGGACAAGGACTAGAAGGCAGAAGGGGACAGGAAAGCTGGTGATAGGGAACCCAAGGTTGAGTAAGGATAGTGTTGATGCGTTGTGAGGTTGTTAACCATTGTCACAGGGCAACATGTACTGTTTAATGAGAAACTATTTTGTTCTGTAAACCTTCATCTAAAGTGAGAATAGCAGCACAATTGGAAGAGTGTAGTCGATGTCACTGAACTGTGCATGTAGAAATTTTTGAAATGGTGTATCTTTGGCTATGTATATTTTCACAAAAAAAAAAAAATAGGGTGGAGAAGGGAGAGGGTTGACATGTCGTGGGCTTGTTAACCGATGTCATAAAACAATATGTGTACTGCTGTTTAATGAGAAACTATTTGTTTTGTAAACCTTCACCTGAAGTACAATAAAGTATCTTGCTGAATTCTCACAGCAACTCAAGGAAGAGGGTATTAGCACCTCCATTTAGAGACAAGGAATCAGGGACAGGGACCTCCAGGCAAGATAGAATAATACTAGTTCACACTTTGAGGCTCTCTCTGTGACCTACCTGGTTCCAAAGACTTAGCAATGATAGATGAAAATATTTTTAAAGCAGCAGCAACAACAGGTAAACTTACCTGTGCTCAACAACGAGATATATATCTCAGTGGGTGAGAAGCTCAAAATAGTAAGAGGGGCTGAAGGCATGGCTTGCTGGGCTCTTTCAGGGCATGGGGACTAACAGTGTCCCACAGGAGGTCGGGGATCAGAGCCAGGGTCACTGAAAATGGGGGCTGATGATGGGGCATTCCCATCTAGAAGAGGAAGCTGAAACAAGGCAGGGATACACTCCAAGACTAGAGTTTAATCAGAAAGCTGAACACTGAGGGAAGCTAGAAGCAGAACACACAGCCAGGGCCTGGGCCAGGCTGCCCAGTGCTTTGATGGTTGGCTCTGGTAATAATCCTATGATCACCATGGACAAGCAGCTCACCACTAACCCAAGACACGTAGCTCTGCACTGGGGGAGTCAGGGGCTGGGTGGAGGCAACAGAAAAACCATTCCACAAGGAGAGCTGGATGAAAGGAGATGAGCAGTGTGCAGATAAAAATCTCTTTTAATTAAATATGAGTCTGGGGTCTTTTCCCCCTATGTCATTTTGGTGACAAAGATGGGATAACAAAATGGGACTTTAATAATGATTGGTTTACAGAGCTTTGTTGACTAGTTACCTACTTAGCGACATTACATTGATTGGTGGCTTACAAGTTTTGTTTTAAGGCTCCTTAGGAACAAATGATAGAGACAAGCTGTTTGGGTTAAGTTTCCTTTGGAAACAAGCTAACAAAATTCTGATTGGTGCTTGATGAGGTAAGATAGCTACTACATAGTGATATGGGTGCTTTGTTCGTTAGTTGCCACTTAACAACCATACAAATTCACAGAGTGGTCATAGGACATTCTTCTCTGGAAATGTGGAAGTTATGTAAAAGCTCTTTGGCTTTGTTACAAGGGGAAAAAAACCCACATTCTCTTAGATACCAGACAACAGACAGAACTGCCCTAACCAGTTTAGTTTTCTGGTTCTACAGGTTTCTACACAGAGTGAAATCTAACCTGGACCCCACTTTAGCTTTTCTTATTCAGGCCAGATACTTCATAGTAATTTTTTAGGGTCTTCATGTTATTCCCTCCTTTTGATCAAGGATTTTGATTGAACATCCTTTGATCACACTATGGGCATGCTTTCTTCTGCATGGATTGTTGATATATTGCTTCCAGGTAGAGACTCCATATTTATGGTTTATGCTTGATTTATTTCTTGTGTTGAGCCTCTTTCTCCATAGTCAGGGACCACTGGTTCCTTGGTTGCAGGGCAGCTCCAGGAAATTCACTGTGCTATGCCTGTGCAGCCATCTCCAGTGATTTTATTATGAGATGTCCTTAAACCCATAAAAACCCATTGCCGTCCAGTCAATTCTGACTCATAGCGACCCTATAGGACAGGATAAAACTGCGCTATAGGGTTTCCAAGGAGCAGCTGGTGGATTTAAACTGCTGACCTTTTGGTTAGCAGCCGAGCTCTTAACCACTTCACCACAAGATGCCCTTAGCATGGTCCTTATATCCTAGATGATGGCCCATCCTGGTTCTGGCCTTTAAAGTCACGACTTACTTAGTCAAATACCATCTGGTGCTTCAGCATGCATCTTGTCAAGATGTTGTTATCTGGGAGGGTAATGACTCAGAGACCTAGGCCAGATTGGAGGAATATCTGACCTCTTCATTGAAGCTAATATAGGGTGCAGGACTCATCCACCATGTTACAAAAGTGAGATGAATTAATGTACATAATTTGCTTCAGAGGTGAAGAGTTTCTTAAATTGGGCACACATTTCATAATACATTTGACAATTACAATTCCAATTGTTATCAGAATAACTATTCCAGTTTGCAATAAAGTTCTGACCCAAGACCCTATTCCTTGTGGTAACTGACTGAATAAATCAGAAAAAGAAAGTATAGCCATAGGTGGAATAGAGTGAAGCCAAACTACTTGTTGATATATTTTACAAATGTCTTCTTCCATTTCACTAGTGGTGTTAATTCAAGAGTAACAGGAGGTAGTTGCTGTTGATTGAGCCAGTCTGACAAAAGCATTATCCTTTTAAGCCTCACTCACTGGTTATTACAAGGCATAGTAACAAAGAACTTAAGAAAGGCTTGATAATGGAGGAAAATTGCCCAGAAGAAATAAACAAGAGCAATTAGCATACAAATGACTGAAAAATTAAAATAGGATTCTTTAAACAAGGGCATATATGAGTAAACAATGAGTGCAGCAAATAACTTAATGATTATTAAGAAAAATACAAAGGAACATTTTTAGGTTAAAACACATGGAAAGATTTACTTATACAAATTTGTCTTATCAGTTAATAAAACCTAGTTGATAGAATAAAGCTACTTTAAAACAATGAGAGTTAGGTACAGAGCAATAATTTCTATAACATTTATTCACCAAGGGAAAGTTATTAGTCCACAGACCTTAAAGGTATATAAGAAAAAAGAATAGCAAATACTAGAAAAAGAAATATACAGGGTCTGAGAATTGTATTTCTATTTATGTGTTCCAGTGTTTGGGAATAAAGAATTTACAGGCCTGGTCCTGGATCTTGGAATAAGTTGTTTTTTATTCTGGCAATTTTTGAGTTTTAGCTTGAGCCCTTGTCATGGATTGAATTGTGTCACCCAAAACCATCTGTCAACTTGGCTAGTCCATGATTCCCAGTATTGTGTGATTATCTACTATTTTGTCATCTGATGTGATTTTCCTATGTGTTATAAATCCTACCTCTATGATGTTAATGAGGTGAGATTGGCAGCAGTTATGTTAATGAGGCAGGACTCAGTCTACAAGATTAGATTGTATCTTGAGTCAATCTCTTTTGAGTTATAAAAGAGAGAACTAAGGAGAGAGACATAGGGACCTCATACCACTAAGAAACAAGAGCCAGGAAAATAGCATGTCCTTTGGACCCGGGGCCCCTGCACTGAGAAGCTCCTAGACCAGGGGAAGATTGATGACAAAGGACCTTCCTCCAGAACCAACAGAGAGAGAAAGCCTTCCCCTGGAGCTGAC